CGTCGCAAGTCTGTGACTAGAAAGTCAGGGTTCTGATGTAATATAAAAAATAAATTTATAAATTTCAAACATGACAAGCAGTTGGAACTAAAAACACGGGTGTTGTTGTGCGATATGTGATGGAAATTTATTTATTATTAATTCATGTATATAAATGAAACATAATAACGTTTCGACCTTCAGTTTAGGTCTTTATCAAATTCTACAAATATAATATAACAAAATATTAGATTTCTTTATAAACCTAAATGCGCAAAATAAGATTAATATGTTAACTTACAATTATGTGCTGTTTAACAAACTTCGTACAATACAATAATGATAAGTAAGATGTTACAATAAGTCGTATCGCAAACAAGAGAGCTGTACATGACTGATGAAATTTGAAAAGACATCAAATTGAACAGCGAAATCGCAAGCCGAGATATGCGCATAGGTGAACTTAAGCTGTATTAACAACTAACTGTAAATAAGACTTATCGAGGTTCTCCGTGTCGCTATGCAAATTGAGGCCGTGAGTTTGTTTTTTAATATGAAGCGTTTCAGAAATTAAACGTTCATGATAGTGTCTTTCACAGTCCAAAATCTCGACATTATTCCAAATAAAATTGTGAAAAAAATTAACTCTGAATTTGATAAAAACCTAAACTGAAGGTCGAAACGTTATTATGTTCCATTTATATACATAAATAAATAATATTTCCATCACATATCGCACAACAACACCCGTGTTTTTAGTTCCAACTGCCTGTCACGTTTGAAATTTACATATTTTTGGAACTATTTACCCTTTTTCTAAATTATAAATAAATTTATGTGTCCGTTGCAGATTTTTTTTCTGAACGATTTTCATCTGCGCGAACTTGTACGTGCGGGTTGACAAGTGCGTGCCGATGAGCAAAAGAGAACATTATTTTTTTTGAAGACAAAAAATGGTTTATGACTTGGGACAAGGCACNCGTTAAACCTGCATGTACTTGTTCGTGAGGAGTTGACAAGAGCGTGCCGTACAGAAGAGGACATAAGTTTTTTTGAAGATGAAAGACATAATTTATAACTCGTGACCTGCGCGTACTTGTTCGCTCGAGAAACTTCGAGAAAATTCTACGAAAGTTTTCAATAAATAGATATTCAATGTAGAATGTTTATAAAAATTAAACCATTTGAAAGAATTGTTTATTTATGTTTCACACGCATATGCACACATGTGTGAGTAGCTATAACACAAAGTAAATGCGCAGGTAAAGACTTCTGGGATGTGTGAGGATAAAAATAATTTATAAATGAAAAAATTATTATTATTGTTAATTTTCGTATAAAACAGAAAGAGGGATGGAAAAATAAGTTGCTACTCATGCGCATAAGAGAGCAGAATTGGGTATAAATAAGGTGTTGCAACATCATTTAGAATATTATTCTGCTGCGAACAGTTGAGCCTGACGTACGGTCGTGATATCTTATAGTACAACGCTGTTTAGGTTTAGGTTAGGTTTAGGTTTAACCAACGTTGTAACCGAAAAGCGTTACGTAGAGCGCAACTAATGTCCGATGAGCGAACTCCGTGATACGAACACTGTGATATGTTCTCTTCGCTTTTCGAGATAGATTTGAACGACGGAGAGAGAGCTTCCAGATTATATATGTTTTTAGACAGAAGCTTTTCTGAGAAATCCACTTTTTCTTTGCCTCTGGTGTAGATGACGGGAGCGTATTTGGTGACTTTTCAAAGATGTTTCGTGGGATATTTTAGATTGGTTTTACTGTCAAACTATTTGATACCGTGATAAATTCGTGTAAGCCAATCGTTGCATCGTTTTGATTTTTGTGGTAATTTGGTAAACGCGAACGGAGGCATCAAAATCCAGTTTCCGATAATCGGTCGGTCTACCACGACATACGCCATTTCTTTTGGAATAAATTCACACACGACGCCACGAAATTCTTGCATTTCTATGATTACAGCATTTTTATACTCGGACATCGTGAAAACAAAACGAAGATATCGGAGACTAGAACGAAACTGAAATGTCTCCACAAAACGCTTGCGACAAAAGGCGTGGAAAAGTGGGAAAAATGAAATGGGGGAAAAATATCTTGGTTTTACGTATGTGCGGGAATATGATTATCCGTTATAATCTACAATAATTTGGCGCGAAGAATCGATTTCCAAAACACTGTCGCATTCCGCATAAACAAGACAGTTAATAGTCGTTTTGAGAGCTTTGTCGAACCGTGCTTCAATTCGCAAACTACCGTGCTTCATGAGATTCCAATGTTTGACGCAATTGGCCGATAAATCGGGAGTGAGATCAAAAGCGAAGAGTGTGTATCCGTGAGCATAAGCATCTCTGCTTATAGCATTTCCTTCGTTTAGAAAATGAATACCCGTTTCTGAGAAAAGAGTATGAAAAGCCTCGATGTAGAGAGGAGAGTCTCTTGAAAAAGAAGGTTATAACGGTCTAGTAGGGACTTGCATTCCATCGACGTAAAGCGACAGGAAATTTATATTAAAGTTTTTAAAATTAAACGGAGTAAGTTTACTATCGCCGTTAAACGCTTTATTTTCGACAAAACCGATTATCATCCGTTTCGGCAGTTGACCAAGTATGGCGTTGTCAATTGATTCTCCCACCACTCCTCTGTGGATTGTAAACGATTTAACTTCAACTTTCGCGAGACGATACTCTGCAGTGGTTTTGCTCAGCATTTTAGCGTGAGCTAATAAAACTCCAGCGCTTAGTTTTGCTCTTCTCATGATCAAGGTGGCATCTACAATAAGAACTTTTGTCTGTGACGTAAGTTCCATGAGACAGGAAGAATCCTTCGAGCGGATAAGTCTTAGGTGCTTTTCCACGCCATTAATCAAGAATTTATCCTAATTGAAAACGTCACAATGTAGATGTCCTATAAGATCCACAGCACGGTTAGATTTGAAATACTGCATACGTCTCACGAGAGCGGGGTTTTCAGTTGGAGCATCAAACTCGGCATCCAACAGCCCCGGAGGATCGCTATCTCAGGTGGTGAGATGAGAGGATTTTGCTTCTGAAGAATAATTCAACAATGTCTCGAAATAGGCTCGATACGCGTAAGCATTGTTCGGAGGCGACACAAGCTTCTGATTGAAGTACACATTGATTTGATTGAACTTGGAATGTAAAAAGTTATTTACAGGCCCTACTTTAGCTCTGCAGCAAGAGCTGTAGCCGAAGTAAGCGGAGGAACCGCTGCTTTAACGGGGGTTTGCAATATCACGCGAAGACTGAGAAGAGTATGCGCGAGATCTATGTAATCTTCACCATGTCTCGGTACGACAAACTCAACGGGAGCGTCGTCCGCAAGAGTCGACAAAGGTTTGTAATGAATCCATTGCGAACTCTCGATACTGATCTGAATGGGCGATAAAGTGAAAAGATCAAGTTCGCTTTTGAAACATTCACACGAGTGAGTATAGAGAAAAGACATTTTGCTTTGTCTACGAGAATATATCGCTCACGGTTCGTTTCTTGCTCACACGGCGTTTGCTAGTTTTTGTTGCGCGCTTCTTCTTCTTTTTCTTTTTCTGAATTCCTCTACTCGTTGAGCGTTTAAGTGCTTGAGTTTTCTTTTTTCTCCGCACGGAAGCTGATTTCTTGTTGGTACTACTAGCACGACGGCGACGCTTGATCGCGAAGTGAACGGGGAGCTCACCAGGGTCAAACTGACCCGGGCGTTTCTTCGCAAGAGGTATATATCCCGACCCTCGCATTAAGCTGGTTATTTTTTCTTTTGCTTGTTGTTTGAGATTGTCACGTAATTCTTTGAAACGACTGTTAACTGCTTCTTTTAGCGGAATATTGTTATTCCCCACATCGTCTATTATTCTGACACCGGCGCGTAGAGCTTCTTTTTCGATCACGCGCGCTCCGCTAGCCAGGTAGGGAAGCATCCTCCTGATCAATCCGCCGAGAAAGCTTCCGATATCGTAACCACGCTGATATGTCGATCCCGTGAAAACTCTCGGAATGCCGCCCCCGCTCTGCATCTCGTAATATTCCATATAATGAGCCATATTCTACTCGAATACGCGTCTAAAGTGTAACATTACTGTCAACGTGCCGAATTCGAATGGAATAAATTTACCAAATTAATCTCTTATATTTATTTTTATCACGCAGAAATATGTTTTACGAAGCGGAATATAATATCTAGACAAGTAATGTTTCACCTGATTAGAACCGTACTTATTCGTGGTATTGTTAGTGACTATTAGAAGAAGCGGTGTTAGCGCATCTCTGGTTATGTATGGCTCGCAAATGTCGCAATAAACAAATAACTTGTTGGGGGTAGCACGGGCCAAGCTGATTGGTTCAAAACTATCGACACCGGCAACTCTGTCTACTACAAAAGGTGTATTAACAGAGAATGTTTTAAATCCGAGTATACGACGCAATTTGTCGCTAAGCTTTACACTACGAATTTGATTGCATTTGTCTTCTTTACATGTAAGCGATATAAAAACTTTATTACCATATAGAGGATTCAGTGACCATGTAATATGTGATTTTTCTTGAGAGCACGAATGATTTATAGCTTCTATAAGATCAGCTTCTGAAGAATAAATTCCCGAC